CCACACAGACAGCTGGGAGGGTCACACAACACAGACAGCTGGGAGGGTCACACTACACAGACAGCTGGGAGGGTCACACTACACCACACAGACAGCTGGGAGGGTCACACTACACCACACAGACAGCTGGGAGGGTCACACAACACAGACAGCTGGGAGGGTCACACTACACCACACAGACAGCTGGGAGGGTCACACTACAGACAGCTGGGAGGGTCACACTATACCACACAGACAGCTGGGAGGGTCACACAACACAGACAGCTGGGAGGGTCACACAACACAGACAGCTGGGAGGGTCACACTACACAGACAGCTGGGAGGGTCACACTACACCACACAGACAGCTGGGAGGGTCACACAACACAGACAGCTGGGAGGGTCACACTACACAGACAGCTGGGAGGGTCACACTACACAGACAGCTGGGAGGGTCACACAACACAGACAGCTGGGAGGGTCACACAACACAGACAGCTGGGAGGGTCACACTACACAGACAGCTGGGAGGGTCACACTACACAGACAGCTGGGAGGGTCACACAACACAGACAGCTGGGAGGGTCACACAACACAGACAGCTGGGAGGGTCACACAACACAGACAGCTGGGAGGGTCACACTACACAGACAGCTGGGAGGGTCACACTACACAGACAGCTGGGAGGGTCACACTACACCACACAGACAGCTGGGAGGGTCACACAACACAGACAGCTGGGAGGGTCACACTACACCACACAGACAGCTGGGAGGGTCACACTACACAGACAGCTGGGAGGGTCACACTACACCACACAGACAGCTGGGAGGGTCACACTACACCACACAGACAGCTGGGAGGGTCACACTACACAGACAGATGGGAGGGTCACACTACACAGACAGATGGGAGGGTCAAACTACACAGACACTTGGGAGGGTCAAACTACACAAACAGCTGGGAGGGGGGTCACACTACACAGACAGATGGGAGGGTCACACTACACAGACAGATGGGAGGGTCACACTACACAGACACTTGGGAGGGTCAAACTACACAAACAGCTGGGAGGGGGGTCACACTACACAGACAGCTGGGAGGGTCACACTACACAGACAGCTGGCAGGGGGGTCAAACTGAGGGGTTACATCTTTGAACCTCAGCAACAAGAAACAGCATGTGATTGTCGCCCCCAAACTAATTCACACTGTGGCGTCACACTGTTGAGAATCACCACAGCAGCAGCCCCAGCCCATTCCAAACCTCATCCAGTTTATATGCTAATTTCACCCAGATAAATCCATGCCCACTGCCAAATGTTGTCAAAAAAACTGCATCTCCAATTGAACCAAATACATCAAAACAAGTACTTTCTTCCCAGAGGTCCCTGATACAATCGGCATGGCCATGATAACGGGTTACACAAATCATATGATATAAAATATTTATGACATAATTACTCCTGGCTTAACTTGGCACAAGCATCACTGACGGAAGCATGGCTCGCCTCTGATCATGACTTGCTGCATATGACCTATCTCTCGCGTCATCAGGCATTTGTGGAGGTAACGTCTCCAGGATGAAGGGCACATAGTTCACTGTTATTTAAACGTGGAAAAAACACAGAATTTTTGTTATGTTTTAACTACAACTGAAGATCATGGATTCCTCTGTTAAATCAGTTAATGTCAGTTATAAAAAATCCATAAAATTCATTCTTGACATTTTGGGAGGATATTCAAGATCTTGAATGTTTCATAAATAGTTGTCAGTATTCAAAAATACACTTCTTAACCCCATGTGACATTGCACAAATTAAAAAAATAACTTAAAAATAAATATCATTTCTTTCAGTTTGTTTGTTTGTTGTTTAATGCCACCCTCAGCAATAATATATAAGTATAATGATGGCCATCTGTAAATAATCAAGTCTGGACAAGACAATCCAGTGATTGACAACATGAACATGATACGACGACATGCATCAACCAAGTCAGCAAGCCTGACCACACCCGATCCCATAAGTTGCATCTTACGACAAGCAAAGTCGCCTTTTACGGCAAGCATGGGTTGCTTAACGGGTGCATTTCTTTCAGAATACACAGAAACCATTATGACAATACAACACAACACGATGGACAAAAGACTGTGTGTCAAATCAGACCTTATTTTGAACATCTCATTCTAAACCTCTGACATATCAACTAGATATTCTGACGGATGTTAGCGAGTTTAAATTTTATGTCGCATCAGCATTATTTCAGCCATATAGCGACGACTGATGGATGTAAAGGTTTCATGCTGGAAACCCTTAAATTGTACAAGCTCTGCATGAGACAAAGTTCGGGCACATTTATCAAGCTTAGAATAATCTAATTTTAAGCCAACTATTTTTTCAGTAGGATGTGTCCCTGCTGGTTCTTCTCAGTTCTATGTCAGCAAGTAAGTGAACTGGGATTTACTGCTGCTTTTTCCACTATTGCTTAGCGCACAACATGTAATGTGGGAGGAAAGCTTAAAGTGAGTGAGTGAGCTGGGTTTAATGCCGAACAGTATACCAGTTTTATCACGGCGTGGCAGCTTAATCCTGACACACCTAAGGGAGGCAACTGTGCACAGATCCCAAAACATATATACTGCAAGACATTGCTGTTTTTTATTTTAAATTGTCCTGCACAGAAACTTCAGACAGGGTAACAACAAGTACCATCTTTTAACGACTTTTGGTATGACGCAGCCAGGGATCAACCCTGGACCTTCCGCTCTCTGGGCAGAAGCTCTACCACTAGACCATGGAGGCAGTCTATTCCAGAAATATCACAGTGGCATGTAATTAATCAAGTAACATTTCAATGATGATTTCAATAATGCTTCATTGTTATGTTCATGTTTTATGCACAATGCAAGATTTGACTGATTCTCAACAGACAGTCAATAAACAGAGTTAGTGAGTGAATTTGAACAGATTCCTGAGGCAAGAGAGTTAACTGGCTTTAAAAGTCCAGTTTCCCTCTTGCCGAACTAGGCTGGAATTCCTGGGCTCCATCAGAGCGCCACCAGTGGTTATTACAAGTTATGTCCCTTTTGAGCCTCTCCTATGGACCAATCAGATTCTATCTCGTATCACTTGCATTTGGTTCAAACAAAATGACGGCGCCCAGTCAAGACAATCTGATCGATAATCAAGATTTATATTGCGATAAAACGGATCTTACAGTACATCAAATCACGCGAGCACCTTCATCAAAAATATGAAAAGATCTGGAAAATATCTGTTGACAACAAGTTGGCGGTGCACATGCTTTGCAAATCCTGCAATCAACCGCAATCTGCACAACAGTTTACGAACTGGCTTTCGATTTCGTTGCAGGATTTTGATTGGACTATGCATAGACTTGTTAGTCCAGCCAAAATGTAACTCCATAATACCAGCCTAGTTTGGCAAGGGTGGAAACTGGACTTTTATAGTCAGTTAACTCTCTTGCCTCGGGAAGATGTTGAACAGCAATCCAGTTGTACTACTAAAAACAAAATTAAGGACCACCCAACTCTGTCATATTACCACAGTAAATCTGTCATGACATGGCAGATAAACATGTATTAACCCATACAAGACTGTGGTGTACAGTGTAGCATTCCTGAGGTGTGCCAGAAACCTATGGTTCTGTGTTCAAATCCAGCTCATTATGTTTCTAGGTTTGTCAGCACCATACCCATGCTCTTGGGTCCCATCAAAGTGGTCCATGTCTAAACCCTGCATGATTTCAGACTTTCGTCCAAATTCAAGCAGAGAACTGTTTAGATATACCGTAGTCAATGTAATAAACTGTGTGCCCCACTCTAATAAGCACCCATGGCAATATTTGCTAATATATTGGCTAGTGAACAATTCCAATTAGCAACCCTTCTGATTGATCAATGTTGACAAGACTTATTTATTCGTGTATAATATGCACCCTTAATTATGGGCAATTAAATTCTGGAAAATATATCTGTCGTGTATGATACGCACATACTTTACTTTTGTATCATTTTAGGCTGTCAGCATAAACTACGAAATTTTCTCACCAAAATTATATTCAAATAAGAGCCCCCTATTTCTTATTTCGAGAGCGCCCCGGGTACTTATCAAGTCGAATAAGGTACCAGTCTAAAAAAGGAACGGACCACCCGATTCTTTCATGTTACTATATTTTACACAAATGATAACTTGATTACCTTCATGAGTTTAACCTGGATACTGGTTCGGGTTTAGTTTTAGAGGGTAAAAACTTACAAATGCAATTTACAATTCTAATAACCAATATTGATCAACAAACATATTAAAAACTACAATACATGCATGTTGCGCAGTGGAACTGAATATTTGAGCGTGGTTTAACTTAAATGAAAACTAATCTTAAATTTGTATGAAACAAGGAACTAAACGTGATGACCTATTAAAAAAACATGAATATCTATAAGGAACTAAACGTGATTACCTGTTATTATGTGAAGGAAAGATGAATAAACCTCAAATGAAAGAAACTAAATATCTAGAACTAATGCTAATTCTAACAGTTACTGTATTGAAATGTGTTGGTTACTCCTACGGGAGTCTTAACACTGTCTAACGCTGTCTAACGCCAGCTGTCTAACACCAGCTGTCTAACACCATCTCTCTAACCATCTAACTAACGAACTCTCTAATGAACTCTCATCAACTAATCAAATTGATGCGCGCTACCGCCTTATATTTGTTCACAACCCTCACATTTCATGTGCAGTCACAGCCATACGTTGGTGTGTTCAGGCGATGCGATCGTTATGCATCGGGTGCGTTTTGGAGAACAGATTCTTTATTTAAAACTAACATGACTGCACGTGAAGCGCGATCTATAGGCACCAGGTGCGTTTTGGAGCACATTTTTAATGAACAAACATGTCTTCAGAACAATGCATTTGTACATTTACAAGAACAGAGAACAAGCTAATTGTTTTTTTTATTTATTAGAAACTTTTCAAAAAGATGCACATACCTGCTGAGACCCCGACGAGAAGTACACAGACCCATCCCGACCATGCGTCGTGAGCACCCTTCACTTTCTCCCAGCATCCTTCCTGCTTCTTCTTGATAATATGTCTATGGCGCATGCGGTCGCGGGCAATGTCCCGCAACCAGTCAATGGTGTGGAAGTCGTCATACTGACCAATCCCCACAGGAAGGTCATCCAACGTGTCCATGAGGTTCGCTGATCCTACAAAACAGACACAAATACTTTGATGCAAATTGTGTGAATGGCGGGTGCTTCCCGTAAGGCAGGACATGCTTACCCTTTTCACGAACAACCGGTATCATCACCGATTTTCAGCTGTCAAATTCAAAGAACATTCAGCAATATTTCACCTTTTACGCCAAATGACACTGTTTCAGCATCAGCTAATAATCAACATTGATTATTCTCTGTAATTGACTTCATATATTTCAACAGGTAAACTACCACAAACATATTGTTTGTTTGTTTCTTGTTTAACATAGCTTTATCTAAGATTCCAAACTAAGTGCCCTTGGAAAGTACATGTAATTGGGAAACTACTGTTATTTGTTTACAAATGGGATTTTTTAAGTTCTAAATTTCTTAAATAATTTTTTTTGACATTGTATATTAACATTATTTTGAATGCAACAATGTAGAACTCAGCACTAAAACATCTAAGCTTCTGCTTCCATATTGACCCTGTTATCAGTGAAATAAAAGTCACTTGCACAAAGCCATCACATTAGTTCCTATACTGTATATGTATAGACATAAAATTGGAACTTTTTAATGAGATTTTTACAGACATTTGCTGGAGGCTTGGGGCCAAATATCAGCTCCAAGCAGGTCCAGATACATCACTGTATACAGTTACTTTCAGGGGATGTACTGCCACATACAAACACTCAGAAAATGCTTTGGGGCAAAATGACAAAACCTGTCAACTAGTAAGGCGAGAATCCTCAAAATATGAACCACAAACTTCAGAATAAGTCTATGTTATGTCTGTGTATGCAGGAAATGTGTTGGAAGCAGCTTTTCACTTCCAAACTTGAGTCACTGTGACACATTAACACCCCATGCAATATCAAGTAATATCACATTGTTAGGCAATGTCAAATGATATCATTTTAACATCATGCCATATCACACGACAGTGAAACCCTGTACATCCAGTCTGAGTAAAATCGTCTGGATAAACCAATTTCCTGTTGAATGAAGCAGAAGTATGGAGTAATGTCCCTTTATAAAGACATTCCGAACACTTTTTGTCCAGATTGCTGGGTTTCTGGAATAACAGGGTCTGTACAAAAGAGGTTGTAATATGATATCATGTCATATCATCATATAATTAAGTTTGACTTCAGTGTTTCATCGTTTATGGAGGAATAAGCTTAAAAACCTGGTGCACACACCATCAGTCAACAATAATAATTTCACAGGCTGCTTTTTAGTCATTAACATAAAAAAAACTGTCAATGATACAAAATCATTGGTCAGCACAAGAATGCTTCACAAACCCCACCCATCTTATTAACAGCCCATCAGAAAACTGTAGTCTGGGGCGCTCTGTAAATAACTGAGACTGGGTCAGCCAAACCATTGGTTGACAACATGAAGACTGGATATGATAACCATTGGTCTAGCGATACAACAAGCATGTGGTACAGGGGCCTATTCTGCCCGGAATACAGACAGGTAGACAAGCACAGGGTACAGGGACCTTTTCTACCCGGAATACAGACAGGTAGACAAGCATGGGGTACAGGGGCCTATTCTACCCGGAATACAGACAGGTAGACAAGCATGGGGTACAGGGGCCTATTCTGCCCGGAATACAGACAGGTAGGCAAGCACAGGGTACAGGGGCCTATTCTACCCGGAATACACAGGTAGACAAGCATGGGGTACAGGGGCCTATTCTGCCCGGAATACAGACAGGTAGGCAAGCACAGGGTACAGGGGCCTATTCTACCCGGAATACAGACAGGTAGACAAGCATGGGGTACAGGGGCCTTTTCTGATCTGGAATACCCACAGGTAGACAAGCATGGGGTACAGGGGCCTATTCTGCCGGGAATACAGACAGGTAGACAAGCACAGGGTACAGGGGCCTATTCTACCCGGAATGCAGACAGGTAGACAAGCACAGGGTACAGGGGCCTATTCTGACGGGAATACAGACAGGTAGACAAGCACAGGGTACAGGGGCCTATTCTGACGGGAATACAGACAGGTAAACAAGCACAGGACACAGGGGCCTATTCTACCCGGAATACAGACAGGTAGACAAGCACAGGGTACAGGGGCCTATTCTACCCGGAATACAGACAGGTAGACAAGCACAGGGTACAGGGGCCTATTCTGACGGGAATACAGACAGGTAAACAAGCACAGGACACAGGGGCCTATTCTACCCGGAATACAGACAGGTAAACAAGCACAGGACACAGGGGCCTATTCTACCCGGAATACAGACAGGTAGACAAGCATGGGGTACAGGGGCCTATTCTACCCGGAATACAGACAGGTAGACAAGCATGGGGTACAGGGGCCTATTCTGCCCGGAATACAGACAGGTAAACAAGCACAGGACACAGGGGCCTATTCTGCCCGGAATACAGACAGGTAAACAAGCACAGGGTACAGGGGCCTATTCTACCCGGAATACAGACAGGTAGACAAGCATGGGGTACAGGGGCCTATTCTACCCGGAATACAGACAGGTAGACAAACATGGGGTACAGGGGCCTATTCTACCCGGAATACAGACAGGTAGACAAGCATGGGGTACAGGGGCCTATTCTGCCCGGAATACAGACAGGTAGACAAGCACTGGACACAGGGGCCTATTCTGCCGGGAATACAGACAGGTAGACAAGAACAGGGCAAAGGGGCCTATTCTGCCCGGAATACACAGGTAGACAAGCATGGGGTAAAGGGGCCTATTCTGACGGGATTACAGACAGGTAGACAAGCACAGGGTACAGGGGCCTATTCTACCCGGAATACAGACAGGTAGACAAGCATGGGGTACAAGGGTTGTATTCTGCCGTAAGATCCTCACCACTCGCACTACAACTTCACAATCACAGCATGACCCTCCTGCATACTCTCACCAGGACAATATACCACTCCCATCATCATCAATAATAATTGTTAAGCCCAACACATAAACAGTTTTCAAATGAATATGTCATATGCCACACAAAATATTTAGTCACAATCAACCTGAGTGACTTGCCTGACATTTGTAAAGTATGTCAATGTGTGTGTGTCTGCCACTATGGCAGGCAGGCAGGCTACTTGACCTGGGCTGGCTCTCATGTTAATGGACTCAGAAATAAGTTGTGTCATCAGACACGACAAAAGCCGAGATGTACTAACAGCAGGTTCGTGTTCACATTAAGGTACACAATGGCAGAGTGGCCATTAAAGGTGCTCTCGTCACTACCAATTAGGCATGGTGTTTCACAAAATGTGGGCACTTCAAAGGATGCGAGCGGGAACCAAATTCACATATTTTAGGAATGTCATGATTATAATGGACAGGCATGTTTTAATCAAGATCAGAATTATGTGAGATGTATTAGACCATTGTCGTGTTTGTTCATGCAAATTTGCATCTTCCTACCTGTTGGGGATTAAGAGGAGGAATTTAATGAATATAAGAATGTAATTTGATTTCTGAAAAAAACATAATTCAGGTTGGATGGGCATGATGGATGAGGCAGGAAAAAGGTGATAAACATGATGAAATATTGAACATGTCAAGCTCTCATACACAGCAATCAGCTACACCTTAAAGTTACAATCCAGGCAATTAGAATTACTATATATTCAGTAAGTCTATTCTGGCTAATGTTGAGATAAGCATTTTTCCCTGTAGAACATACTTGTGTTCTCTGTAACAAGAACAATGTGAAAACCTTGGTTGGAATTGGTCTTCAGCGAGCTAGTGGTGAGAGGTGACTCAAACTGGATCAGGTGGTCAGATTTGCTGACTATGTTATCATATCCAAATTGCGTAAATCAATGCTAATGATGTCAATCACTGGGTTGTCCGGTCCAGACTCGATTATTTACAGACTGACATCATATAACTGAACTATTTCTGAGTGCGGCATTAAAAAGCATTTAACAAACAAATACCTTATCAGTTTACGAGGATTAATATCATTCCATTCATTTCTGTATATATATTTCCAAACAATCTGATTAAAATCAGATCTTAATTCTCACTATCACAAAACAAGGATCTGAGGACATCCCATTACAGGTCATGTCAGAATGACCTTTTCGCAAACTTTGGCCAACCAATAAAATGACTTACAAGAAGTCAACATTAGCCAATCAGAAAACAGCTTTCACAAGATATACAGGTCTAGTTTCAAACTGGTGACTTCCATTCCAGACTACCGGGGTGCGCTTGAAAACATGTTGACAAAGTTTTCTATTCTAAATTTAAAAAACTGAAAAAAGAACATTCTGGAATGTCTATATATATATGGTCGTGATGGCATGGCAGTATTTCCCACAGGCTCTGCAATGTCCTTTCCGTTCAAATGTTTATACCATGGAAACGAGAAATAGACGATGACGGAATCAGTCGTACAGTTCGTAACTGTCATTCAGAATACCCTGTGTTAACCTTTTCATGGTTGAATGATTAGAAAACATATTCTGACTCTCACTTTCCTGATCTTGTAAGCGACACTCTGATTTGTCATACGAAAGGTCGTTCTGACGTGGCCCGTGATAGGATGTCCTCAGATATTTGTTCAGTGTTATCGAGAACTATGATCTGATTTTAATAACATTTATTTCAAAACAAAATCCTGAAATACTCATCTCCTTCTCAACTCCCTATGTTTCTAGGTTTGTCAGCACTATATTTCCTTTCCTCCCACATTTAGCTGACACGCCGCGATATAACTGGAATAGTGTTAAAAGCGGTGTTAAACCCAACTCACTCACTCTCAACTCCCTGGGGAGAGTACTCACCATCAGGATTCTCCTTGTCGTGGAAGTTAGGTACCACACTGAGATAGTCCTGGTCTACGTCCGGACCAGGCATACTGGATGTTGACACACGTTTCATAGATCACTCACAAACACGGGTAAAATGTTTTGTTTTCACCAATATTCATGACCTCCAAATCTGTAGGGTCCATTGGAATTAACTAACACAAGCTATATTCTGTCCACAGAACACGTTCATTCATATTCAAACACAAAATATCCCCAACAGCAAGATGTGTTATTTCTTTTTCAGCCTGCGACTTTAGCCATGTCTGAAGCCCGTGTCTAGTAAAATTCATATCAGTCTTGTAAGCTCAGGTATTAACAGACCATATGAGAACACTAAAATCTATGAAAGATTATTCTGAGGACCAAGTTTAGGGACAGTAGACTCAAAGTATTTGGCACAGACTGCTTGTTGATGAATTTACTGATACAAGCCTGACTGCACACCAACAATCATCAGCTTAACATCCTGAGTGACATGTCCACAACATTGCACCGGCTAGACGACTGTCAGGTCAAAACAATCACAGCCACGGACAGCTTCTTCGACACCTTTGTAGAACATGAATCGTTAGCTCCATTGACAAGACAGTTGTTTTCATTAACCAGATGGCTATTATTAGTGCACTATTCAAACTGAAGTTTAGCTCAAGCTCAATCACTTACTGAATGAAAACATTTCACACTTCATCCAAATCCAGAAAAGATATTATGGTTATTGGAAGTTTAACAAAACATTTTGATAAAAAATTCACCAGTGTATGAACACTTGTCTGTAATTCTGCCTTTCACCAAACTATAAATACATATTTCACTTTTTATGAACAAGCATTTCTTTGCGCATATCCTTGAAAAACCTTAGTCTTGTTATTAATGAAATCTATTCCACAAACCCAACATTGCCAGAAACACTACTTCAAATACTCATAAAAATAGAGGAGAGGGTGTTATATGAATACTGACCTAAGAGGTACTTGGAGGCTTGACCTGTAACCTCTGGGAGTATATTGACACATCTCACAACCATCATGGGACTATTTAACCATATTCAACAACTACTTCAATCTAACATTGTATTATGCTATCTCTACAATAAGGTTTAAAAGATTTATTTTGTGAAATATAAATAATTCAAAACACAGGTTACATGTATTTATCCGTGTAATGTATCTTGTTACAAATATACTTTGGAATGCATTAAGTAAATTTATAAATATATATATCAATTCATTCTAGCCATGGAGACGTATATCCATTTGTGAAACACTTCTTCTTGCGATATCCGACGCGAAAACACAGCTGATCACATATATATCACGATTAGTCCAGATAGTACAACTGTTATCCTTGTTAGTAAGACTTCTGTAAGGGAGAAACATGTCCCTATGATAATACTATAGACAACAGGTCACAGTATTGCTGCCCACACTACACACACATGGCCAGTTGACAATCTGGATGTACAATCAGAGCTTCATGCACCACACGCCCCCCTCTAAACTCTCTCCACACCATGACACTTTCATCAGGGGCCGTATAAAAACTCTTGCATCACATTACAGTACTATACCTTTTGGGTTGCATATTACATGAACTGAGGCGTTCGTGGTTTGTGCTGATACATGTACAGGGTTTGCCTGGAATCTTATATGTGGTATCAGAGTTGGGATGGTGTTGCAATTTTTTACCTTGAAACTTTTGACATGTCCCCTGAGGCTTATCATTGAACTCCAGATGGAGGCTGACATTGAGTGTCACCTAGATATAAGGATGTGGCTGTAAGTTAATGCAGACATCTCGCTGACAGTGTCAACATTCAAAACAGTTTGGAATGAGTGAGTGAGTTGGGTTTAACACGGCTTTTAACATTATTCCAGTTATATCACGGCAACTGGGCCACCCGTGCCCACAGTTTGGAATGACAAAAATCTTCTCATATATAATCAACAGAATATATATATGTTGTTTTTTCAATTATCACTTTGGAGATACCACGGTACAGTATTAACATGGATACCCCACTCCGATACAGGGTAATGACTCCAAGTCAGCCAGTCTTTGTTTTATCCCTTTAATGCCGATAGAGTAATTTCTTTTGTATGACACAGACAGGGGATCAAACCATCGACCTTATGAGACAGACAGACCAGAAACATGATGGTGACACACTATGTAACTTGTTTGACTTTAACACACCACTATGACCTGAAATAATGAAATAAACAAACTTTAACAGCATTTTCTTCATAATGTTATATGGCAGTAGAGATTGTTGGAAGTTTATTTGTAGTGATTGGCAGTTGCAGCTAATAACTAAAACGTTCATAAAATGTTGAGTGATGTAGGGCTACATTGTAATAGGAGTGTGATTTAGAGTTACCTCCCATAGTTGTTGACAAACACATGACAGACGTGATCATTCGAGAAGCTTCAGGATGAGACAGTTTCTAGAATGCTGTCATGACAACATAAAGAATAAAAAAACCCACAAATCCCAAACCATCAAAAGGCCAAATCACCAGTTCACCATTAGACTGATCTGAATAGCAAGTTTCGACAAGATATTTTCAATGCTTTTGGAGTTCTGCTCCAGAAACAGATGGAGGACAAACGTACGGACAGACAGGCAGGCAGACAGATGGACGGACGGATGGACGGACAGACAGACAGAATCTCTATATCCCCTCATTGTTCAAACCAGGGGGATAATAATTTCATTAGACGTCCAGAGAGTGTAGTGTTGCATCAGTGCTGACCATTGATATTTTAAGTAAATTGTTATCAATGTAGTGATACGATATTGCTGGCCAGTCCTTGTTTTATCCCCTTAATGCTGCACACCAGGCAGGGTAACAACAAGTGACATTTTTAACAGCTATGAACTACACCACAGGGCGTTCTTATGAAGGAAACAAAAACACATGGCAGGACACTGACAGTTAACACTTAAAAAAGGACATCTGACATCCACACACAAAGAGACACAGACAGACACAGATACACACACAGAGACACACACACACACAGGCAGATACACACACACACACACACAGGATCTGCCAGAGCCCCATCAGTAAATTACTCTCCATAGACCAATACGTCTGTCACTTGTGTCTGCCATGTTCACTTTTCACAAGCAAAGCCCATGAAACTATGAACATGAAACTACTCATGAAACAAACTGTAACCAATGTCTCTTCAAAGTGAACTCGGAATACAAATGGAAACACAAAAAAACGACAACAAAAATCTATTTTATTTGTTTCAGCAATACTGAACTCTTAAACACAAATATGGCAGATTTCAAAAACAAGTTCCAAACAAAAGTGCGACCAAATGCTTTCTGTCATTATGCCCACTTAGCCTCCATTGATGTTTCCAATGGCTGCATCACCTAGCAATAACTCAGAGCCTTTTTAACAAATCATGTGACAAACTGGGACTAATAGCTGCCGAAGCCTGCTCAAAAGTTAAGGAATGTCATCGAAAAACAGTTAGGGTCTCATTGCAACAGTTCTGTGTTTCAAACACGATTATTCCATTAAAGGCATTTGGGGCAGACTGCAGCATGCTGAAGATCAATGACATCTGCTGTGGTGAGGCATATGGGGACACTCTTTTCCAACCTTGTCATAGTCACTTCTGTGATCTTAAGAGCCATTAAACATGAGAGTGAATGCCACTTACGATTGGCCCCTTGGGAAAATTGCCCCAGATTGGGTCAATTTCACGCCAGTTTGGTTACGATGTAGCAAATCACTCACACGCTTAACATGTATCAGTGCAAGCACACATTCAGCTTCTTTAACTAATGATTTCAATGTCATCCATATTTTAATTATTATTTGCTCATTTATTTTTAAAGGAAGTAACAAAAATAAAAACTTTTTTATTAATTCTTTTAAATTTTATATTGCTCTCATGGTTTATTCGGGGGCACAGGTGGCCCCATCGTCTAAGGCGCCGCGATTCTCTGTGCAGAGTTGCATCCCTTGGGCACGCCAGAAACCTATGATTGTGGGTTCGAATCCCGGTTCGCCCCGATTATGTTTCTAGGTTTGTCAGCACCATACCTGTGCTCGTGGGTTTCAGCGAAGTGGTAAACGTCTGAGACCTGCATCACTTCGGGCTTTCCTCCCACATTAAGCTGACACACCGCGATATAACTGGAATACTGTTAAAAGCGGCGTTAAAACCAACTCACTCACTCACTCACTCACTCACTCACTCACTCACTCACTCACTCACTCCTGAACGCCCCAAACTTTCTAATAAAAAAACTTATGTCATGAACACTTAACTTTAACATATTAGGTGACAGTTTTCCTCCCATATGCTCCCCTACAACTATGAATTGGTTGGTTGGTTAGTTGTTTAACGCCACACTCAGCAATATTCCAGCTATATGACGGCGGTCTGTAAATAATCGAGCCTGGACCAGACAATCCAGTGATTGACATTATGAGCATCGATCCAAGCAATCGGGATCGATGACATGCATCAACCAAGTAAGCGAGCCTGACCACCCGATCCCGTTAGTCGCCTTTTACGACAAGCATAGTCGCCATTTACGGCAAGCATGGGTTGCTGAAGACCTATTCTACCCTATGAAACAGAAAGTCCTACACCTGTAGCTACCTTAATAACAAAACCATAAGCATCTGGAAAACACATGTCCAGTGCAATACAACATTGAAACAGAAAGTCCAATGCCTGTGTAACCTTAATAACAAAGCTTAAAGTACTTCTGTTTAATGACCTTGACCTTCAATCTCCGCCATGTCTGTTTGTTTGTTATTTAACGCCACACTTAGAAATATTCCAGCTGTACGACAGCGATCTGTATATAATCAAGTCTGGAACAGAAAATCCAGTGATTGACATCATGAGCATCGATATACTCATTTGGGATACGATGACATGCATCAACTAAGTCAGTGAGCCTGACCACCCGATCCCGTTGGTCGCCTCAAACGATAAGTATGTGTTGCTGAAGACCTATTCTAGCCTGGATCTTCAGGGGTTTCTCAGCCATGATCTCCCAAGATCATGTATATACAGTTCAATCAATGCTTCAATTATTAATGCTCAAGATATGTGTACACATGATTTTGGGGATGTCTACTTGACACTGAGTGGTTGTGACCTTCAGCTTCATCCAATCACATGCAAGAACATCACCTATTGCAGCGTTACAAACATAAAATTGCCATCCCATAGTAGTGAGTGAGTGAGTTGGGTTTAACGCCGCTTTTAACAGTATTCCAGTTATATCACGGCGTGTCAGCTTAATGTTGGAGGAAAGCCCAAAGTGATGCAGGACTCAGACGTTTACCACTTCGGTGAAACCCACGAGCACAGGTATGGTGCTGACAAACCTAGAAACATAATTGGGGCGAACCGGGATTCGAACCCACAATCATAGGTTTCTGGCGTCCCCAAGGGACGCAACTCTGCACAGCGAATCACGGCGCTTTAGACGACTGGGCCCGCCCGTGCCCCCCCATCCCATAGTAACAATTCTTTCTAAATACAACTATTTACAAGTCATTACCTGAGAGAATGACCTTCAAAGTGACTTTGACATGAAACACGATCAGGACATACAATAGGTGTTGAATTAGTTGCTTAATAGTAACTTAATGTTGAATTCATCTTAACTAATTGAAAATACTTTACATAAAATATTTCAAACTTGAAAGTTTGACCTCTAGTGACCTTGACCTTATCTAGAGGCCACCCAAAGTTGAAGCAATTGAGACCCTGTCTTAGATATTATGTGGACTAAGCTTTTTCAAGGTATCGTGTACACAAGACTTCTTTAGGCCTAGTTCATACTGTCCATCGTGATTCTGTCAATACTTAGCGATGTAACAATTCAACTTGTGCATCGTGATATTCTGGCTATTGATACTTGCATCTTGTTGGTCAGTTGTTGTTGTTACAAAAAGATACACATAATCATACATGTTACCAAGGAGACACGTAAAAGGTTTCTCCCAGTATGTACAAGAAGTACCAAATCTCTATTTTATTAATCTCCTTATATCTACAAAACATGCTTTGGTTTTGCTATAATTTATTCTCTGTGACGATGATGGAACGTGTCTGCATGACACTCAAGAGCTTATGGCAATGTATCTCTTTGTGTGTTGTATCACAACAAAGTTTATAATTGTAGTCCTTGTTATATGACCCAAGAACACCACCATGCCAAAAGAATGTCTATACATCAAAAGATCAAAGGATTTTTCTAGGATTCCAAGTGCCCTCAGCAAGCAAATTGGGAAAAAATGTTAATTTGTTAAAAATTGGGATTTTTTTTAAGTTCTTATTTTGTTATGTTCAGGGTTATTTTAACATTGCATTTTAACAATGCATTCAACACAAAAAATAGAATTAAGAATTGAAGCATATTCCTCTTTCTTATTCCTGTTATCATCGAAATACAAGTCATCTCCATACAGCCATC